TAGAGAGCCCATAAACTCATACATATATGGTCAATTAATTTTCAATAAACATGCAATGCAATGCAATGGAGAAGGGATAGTCTTTTCGACAAGTGGGTCTGGAATAATTGTCTAAAAAATCAACATCTCAATCAATATCTGATATCATATACAAAGATTAAGATAAATGAACCATAGACCTAATTGTAAAATCTATAAGTATAAAGCTCCTAGAAGGAGAAAATATATGATCTCAAGTTAGTCAAAGTTTGCTTTGAAAGAAAGAAATTGGACTAAGGAATTTTGTTCTTTGAAAGACACAGGAGAAGAAAAAGACAAGCCACAGAATAAAAGAAAATATTTGCAAATTGCTTATCTGATAAAAGTTGCTATCAAAATACATAAAAATACTCAAAACTCAATAATAAGAACATAGACTAATAAGCTTTTAAAATATGGTCAAAATATTTGAATTACCAAAGAAGACATATTGAGTACAAATAAACTTGTTGAAAGTTGCTCAAAATCATTAGTCATTATAAAACTGCAAATTAAAACCACAATGAGATACTATTGTATACCTTTTGGAATGGTTAAAATTAAAAAGACCAACAACATCAAGTGTTGATAAAGATGAGCAATTGAAAATCTCAAACCCTGCTTGTGGGAATATAAAATAGTATAACCACTTTTTACAAAGTTTTAATTTAAACTCCAGTTAGTTAACATACAATGTAATATTGTTTTCAGGTGTACCATATTGTCATTCCACACTTCCACAAACACCTGGTACTCCTCATAACAATTGCCCTCCTTAATCCCTTCCTCTGTTTAACCCATCCTCCCACCCACCTCCCCTCTGATAACCATCAGTTTGTTCTCTATAGTTAAGAGTCAGTTACTTGGTTTGCCTCTCTTCCCCTCACTCCCCGCAACTCCATGTTCATTTGTTTTCTTTCTTAAATTCCATATATGAGTGAAATCAAATGGTATTTGTCTTTCTCTGATTGACATATCACTTAGCATACTATTCTCTAGCTCCATCCACATTGTTGCAAATGAAGATTTCATTCTTTTCTATGGCTGAGTAATATTCCATTGTATATGTATACCACATCTTTTTTTTTTAATTTCATTTTTTCAGTGTTCCAGGATTCACTGTTTATGCACCACACCCAGTGCTCCATGCAATACGTGCCCTCCTTAATACCCACCACCAGGCTCACCCAACCCCCTCACTCCTCCCCTCCAAAACCCACAGTTTGTTTCTCAGGGTCCACAGTCTCTCATGGTTCGTCTCCCCCTCCAATTCCCCCAATTCACTTTTTTTTTCTTTTCCTAATATCCTCCATGTTGTCCCTTATGCTCCACATGTAAGTGAAACCATATGATAAGTGACTTTCTCTGCTTGACTTATTTCACTCAGCATAATCTCCTCCAGTCCCGTCCATATTGATTCAAAAGTTGGGTATTCATCCTTTCTGATGGAGGCATAATATTCCATTGTATATATGGACCATATCTTTATCCATTTGTCTGTTGAAGGGCATCTTGGCTCTTTCCACAGTTTGGCGACTGTGGCCATTGCTGTTATGAACATTAGGGTACAGGTGGCCATTCTTTTCACTACATCTGTATCTTTGGGGTAAATACCCAGTAGTGCAATTGCAGGGTCATAGGGAAGCTCTATTTTTAATTTCTTTTTATTTTTTTAATTTTAATTTTTTTTTTTTTTTTTTTTGAGAGAGAGAGGTCACAAATAGGCAGAGAGGCAGGCAGGGAGAGAGAGAGGAGGAAGCAGGCTTCCTGCCAAGCAGAGAGCCCAGTGTGAAACTCGATCCCAGGACTCTGAGATCATGACCTGAGCTGAAGGCACAGGCTTAACCCACTGAGCCACCCAGGCGCCCTCTATTTTTAATTTCTTAAGGAATCTCCACACTGTTTTCCAAAGTGGCTGCACCAACTTGCATTCCCACCAACAGTGTAAGAGGGTTCCCCTTTCTCCACATCTCTCCAACACTTGTTGTTTACTGTCTTGTTAATTTTGGCCATTCTAACTGGTGTAAGGTGGTATCTCAATGTGGTTTTGATTTGAATCTCCCTGATTATACCATATCTTCTTCATCTATTCATTAGTTGATGGACATTTGGGCCTTTTCTGATTTGGCTATTGTTGATAATATAGGGATGCATGTATCCCTTCAAATCCGTGCTTTTGTATCCTTTGGATAAATACCTAGTAGCGCATAGGATAGTTCAATTTTTAACTTTTGAGGAATCCCCATACTATTTTCCAGAGTTGGTGCACCAGTTTGCATTCCCATCAGCAGTGTAAGAGGGTTCCTCTTTCTTGGCATCCTCACCAATACCTGTTGTTTCCTGTGTTCTTAATTTTAGCCATTCTGACTGATGTGAGGTGATATGTCATTGTATTTTTCATTTGTATTTCCCTGATGATGGTATTGGCACAAAATAGACACATTGTTCAATGGAACAGAATAGAAAACCCCAAAATGAACCACAACTATATGGTCAACTAATCTTTGACAAAGCAGGGAAGAATATCCAATGGAAAAAAGATAGTCTCTTCCACAAATGGTGTTGGGAAAACTGGACAGCAACATGCGAAGGAATGAAACCAGACCCCTTTCATATACCATATGCAAAAATAAATTCAAAATGGATGAAAGACCTAAATGTGAAGCAGAAATCCATTAAAATCCCAGAGGAGAACACATAGCTAGTACTTTGACATTGGTCTTCTAAACTAAGGGAAACAAAAACAAAAGTAAGATATTGGGACTTTATCAAAATCAAAACCTTCTGTACAGCAAAGTAAACAATAAAAAAAAAACAACTAAAAGGCAACCTACAGAATGGAAGAAGATATTTGCAAATGACATATCTGATAAAGTTTAGTATCCAAAATATATAAAGAACGTATAAAACTCAACACCCAAAAAACAAATAATCCAGTTTAAAAATGGGCAGAAGACACGAGTAGACATTTTCCCAAAGAAGACATCCAGATGGCCAACATACATATAACCACTTTGTAAAAGTTTGGTAGTCTTGTTTTAAATTGAACATTTATATACCATGTGACCCAGCCATTCCAACCTAAGTATTTATCCCAAAGAAATGAAAGCATATGTCTATAAGTCATGAATAAATGTACAGCTATCCATAGCAATTTCATTTTTTTAGAGAGGGAGGGGGCAGAGGGAGAGAGAGTGAGATAATCTTTTTAAGATTTTATTTATTTGAGTAGTGATCTGAAGGGGCACATGCACCCAAATGTTTATAGCAGCAATGTCCACAACAGCCAAACTATGGAAAGAACCTAGATGTCCATCAACAGATGAATGGTTAAAGAAGATGTGGTATATATATACAATGGAATACTATGCTGCTATCAAAAGAAACAAAATCTGCCATTTGCAATAATGTGGATGGAACTAGAGGGTATTATGCTAAGCGAAATAAGTCAATCAGAGAAAGACAATTATCGTATGATCTCTCTGATATGAGGAATTTGAGACACAGGGCCAGGGGTCCTGGGAGGTAGGGAGGGAAAAAATGAAACAAGATGGGATCAGGCAGGAGACAAACCATGAGAGACTCTCAATCTCAGGAAACAAACTGAGGGTTGCTGGCTGGTGGGGAGTAGGGATAGGGTGGTTGGGTTATGAACATTGGGGAGGATATGTGCTATGGTGAGTGCTGTGAATTGTGTAAGCCTGATGATTATAATAATTATATATATAATAATTTTAATTATAATAATATTACATATAATTATAAATAATACATTATATGTTAATAAAAATATCAAACATCAATTAAGAGAAACAAAAAAGATTTTATTTATTTGAGAATAAGTAGATGCTATATGATTCCACTTATAAAACTCTTTTAAAATGCAAAATAATCTGTAGAGACCAAAAGCAGATTGGCAGTTGCCTAGAGATAGTGGTCCGAGGGGGTTGGGAAGGGTATGTGGGAGGAATTGTAACTGAGCATAAGGAAACTTTATGGGGTGATGGATAAGTTCATTATGTTGATTGTGATGAGGTTTTCACAGGTGTTTATATATATCAAAACTTATATACTTAAAAATATATACAGCTGGGGAGCCTGGGTGGCTCGGTGGGTTGGGCCTCCACCTTCGGCTCGGGTCATGATCTTGGGGTCCTGGGGTCTAGCCCCGCGTTGGGCTCTTTGCTCGGCGGGGCGCCTGCTTCCCCCTCTCTCTCTCTGCCTGCCTCTCTGCCTGCTTGTGATCCCTGTCTGTCAAATAAATAAAATCTTTTAAAAAAAAGTTAAAAAAAAATATATATACAGCTTATTATGTGTCAATTATACCTCAGTAAAGGTGTTAAAAGCAAACACCAGGTTATTGTTGTTAGTTGTGGGGAGTTGGAGGAGTACGTTTATTCAGAGAATGAGAAAGTACAAATATTTAACACTCCTTAAACATAGGAAAAAACTTAAATTAATTTATTTCAAACCGACTGAATTTGTTGTATTCTGTTTGAGAGAATAGAATGTAGTATAACCTTAGTTGTTTGAGGTTTATTGGATTGTTATATGAACCTTCTGTTAATTGTCGTTGGGTTTCTACCTTCCAATAAATCCCCCTTCCATGAGCTGGAATTCAAGCCAAACTATATTTCTTCTTGCTAACAGTTATTTGACAAAAGTTTAGTTGAGAACAAAGGAAAACTACTGACTGAAATTATAAATCAATATTTGCTACAGATTTTTTTCTTTCTATCCCAATCACTCAATAGCACATGCAATTTATTTCTCAAAAGTTGTAATTAATTCTCATAGGAAAGTAAAAGAGACTAACAAAATTGGAGCATGTTATGCAGAGAGTCAGGTGAAATTGTCATTTGAAATCAAAGTTACCTCAAACATAGTCAAAGATCATGAAAATAAAATGAGTTAAAAAATGCAGCTTATCATTGAAAGTTAAAAAACAGTTGTAATCTGTAAACTTCTCATTTATGACCTACCTCTCTGGCTCGATGAAGCTGTGCTTGCTCAATCCTAGAGATGACATTCTGTACTGCAAATGGGATCTCTAGCTGAGGGACCCCTGATTTGTAAAGGGATTTTCTGGACATGATGGTGGAATCCATAACTTCTTTTTCTGGTTCAGAGTCGCTGTCTATCCCACTTTGCATTTTGATAAATACTTTGAAAAGTTAGTGATTTTCTTTTATTTCTTCTTTTTTCACCAAATATAGGCAAATGCTAATAAAGGTGTCCACGAGGAAGCTAGGTCTTTCCTGCTCCCACAGGTTGTGGTTTACCCTAATTTGTTGCTAACCATGGTATTCCAGTCCTGGTGATGTCATAGTAAATCCATCATGACATCAATGACTCAAACATTTCTAGAGTGCTTACTATATGCGGAGAACTAGGCATTCTATCTATATGCTGTCATGGTAGGGGGGAGGGAGGGTAGGAAAAGACAACTGGAACAGAACACTAAAGGAAATAGAAGATATACCCTTGCTTAAATAAGCGTAAAATCTAGGTGTTAGAATTCAAGATCCAGTATATCAAATGTAACTCCTGATTCTTCTCTCTTCCTGAGGTTTTGCTTAAGAATTTTTAAACCTGTAGTGGACTAGTTGTGTTACAACATCCTCAGCTGCCCCTCAGCTTGTCCTAGACATGTAATAATTTGGAAGCTATTATTTGGCTGAAGGTCATACTCTCTGCACTGCCTAGTTATTCATTTTTCCAAGGAATGTGACTGAAGAAGTTTCTGAAATTCCATAGCTGGCCGGAGAAAATGAAAAGAGCATTGGACGCTGCTTTGTAACTGAGAGGAGTACTCTGGGCAGCTCCTTTGATAGCAGAGGAGGTGAAAGGATTTAGGACAAAGGAGTAATTAAAAGACAGGGTAGTTTTGTTAGCTGTGTAGCTTTTTTATTTATTAAAAAAATATGAAACAGTACAGAAATAAATATAACAAATAGCCATGTGCCTATCATATAGAATGAACAAATATTAACATTTTGTTGTATTTGCTTCAGAAAATTTTTTTAAGATTTTTTTTTAAATGTATTCATTTGAAAGAGAGAGCATGAGCAGGGGGGAGGGTCAGAGAGAGAGGGAAGTGCTGACTCCCCAGTAAGCAGGGACACCCCCTGTAGGGCTTAATCCCAGGATCCCAGGATCCCAGGATCATGACCCGATCCAAAGGCAGTCATTTAACCGACTGGGCCACCCACGCACCCCTGCTTCAGAAATTTTTAAATAAAGCATTAGAGATAAAGTTGGGAGTCCCTTTTGGTATTCTCCCTAGACTCCTTCCTCCCCCTCTGTCCCTTTACAGAGACATTGACAGTCATGAATTTGATGTACTTATGACTAGTCTCTGCTTATATAGTTTTACTACAGGTGGAAATATTCATAAACTATATATCATTTTATAGATCTTAGACTTTATACAAATTATGGATATATAATTTAATTTCTCTACAAGAACTTTGTATGTTGAATTCTTATTGTAAATTTTGTCCTAGGTTGCGTCCTTGCTATCAACTTGTAAAGTTAAACAATTTACATATTTCAGTCCTTCAGAGAATGGGAGACAGGGAAACATAAAGTAGTTGTCTTTTAAGAAATGAATCAATATAAAGAGAGCAAATATTCCCCCTTCTAATATCCCATTGTCTAAGTTACCCCCTCCTCTGTGTTCCCAAATACTTTGTAAACTTTCTATTATAGTACTTATCTCTTTGGAATGTAACTATTATTTGTCTCTGTCCATTAGTTGGTGAACTTCTCAAAACCAGAGGCTGTGTTTTAGGGATTTTGTTTGTTTGTTTTAAACATTTGACATATTCTTCCTCAGTTCCTCCTCAGAAATTTTCTAAAATTTGGATATTTATTATCATTTCAGACTCAATTCTATGGAAACTTTCTAAGCCCCAGAATACTTTCTTTTATTGTTAGATTGCCTCCCCTAACACCCAGTCACAAAAATTACTCCCTCCTTTCCTTTAAGTCACATTTAAGTCCATTCAAGGAAGTTAAAAATGTTTCTGAAAGGACTGCAAATAAGTATTTTGGTAAATGTTTAAGTTTGACTAAAATATTCATCATTATCCAGCATTTCTTGAACTTATCAATTAATTCGTTAAGTACTTTGTTGATATTAGATTGTGAGATCCTTAAATAACTTTCATTTCTCTTGATTTTTTTTTTACATTGCTTATCCCAGTAGGCATTCATAAAGCAGCCTACATGCTTGTCAACTAAACTAATTTAGCATTATTGTGCTCTCTCCCTCTCTCATATTTTTTATGCAGCATGGACCTCATCAGCAACTGGAAGTGAAGGCTTTTTAAAGCAAAATTTAAAAGCTCCCTCCTTCCCTTTCAATTTGGTAAGCACTTGTTGAGAGATACTACTATGTGGCCACCATTATCCTAGAATGTGAAGAATATACGATACCGGTGAAGAAAGTAAAAAACGAAAAAGAAAAAGAAAATAATTTAAGACAGAATATTCAAGGGATAATAAGGGACATGAAGAAGAAATCTGTGGGGAGCATTGTCTTTGGGAAAACCCTATGGCGAGAGAAGGTTGATTGACAAATGAAGGCATTCCAGATAGTGAAGACACCTTGAGCCATGGCTTTGGAGGTGAGTGTTGAGTTTATCTTTCAGGGGAAAGTTAAGATTGGTTTAATTGAGATGAAATAATGCTTAGTTTACTGTGGATCAGATTTGGGAGAGGATGGAATACAAAAATACGGAATTCGATGGAGAAACTACTTTGGTATTCAAGTGAAAAAGTGAGTAGATTCATTAGAGATAAAGTAAGGGAGATTACATGGGATCGGAATGGTAAGTCTTGAAAACAACAGTTTGGTGAAAATGAAACCTTTAATTTAGAAAGATTTTTTAAATAATAGCATGGGAAAAATCAGTGGAAAAGATCAAGACATAATTATTTCAAAAGATTAAGTGTCGGACCTAAGATACAGAAGTGGGATTGATAGGGAAGAATAAAGCTTACTAGGTATTCCTGAAGATAATAAAGAATTTGGATCATCTAAAAGAAAAGTATAAAGACCATTTAAAAAAAAAATTTTTATTGTACTTCATTTGAAGTGACAGTGACAGAACATCAGTGAAGAGGCTTTCCATACTAAGTATTAAGTAGCATGGATGTGGCTACCTGATCTACCTGATCTACCTGAACATAGAGCAAAGTTCTTTAAAGGCGTTTCTAAGGGAAACCCGCTCTCTGAGAGGGTTCCTTCAACTGTAAAATGGGGATACTATCTATTGTATAAGGTTTTTAAAAGATTAATTCTCATAAAATACTTAGAATAATGCCAGGCACATAGTAAGGCACATACTAAGCATTTCATACACAGCAGCTGCTATTAATATATTTACTATTACTGCTGCTTTTTTCTTTTTTTTCCCCTACTTTTTTTCTTCGAGCCACCTTCTTTTCGGAAGGATTGGGCGTCTGCCAGTACACTCCACACAAGCTCGGCTTTTCATCAGATCTAGATTTTGAACTACGAAAACTGCGTAGTTACAGTAGCGGTATCCCTCCGCTTGACGAGGGATAAAATGCGTCAATAAGATCTGTACACACCCCCGTGGTACAGAATGGTGCTTTCCTCTGATCGCTTCCCTCCCCCCACGACTGACGATAGTACCTCCCATGCTGCCGCTGGAAAAGGTAGCGTGAAAGTTGAGCGCGCCGAGGGGTTTCTCTTCTCCCGGAAGCAATTTTTCTCTGGAACCGGAAGCGGTTGCTCTTTCAAGGGAGGTGGGACTGGGCGGGTCAGGCCGCAGCGGCTGACGGCGGGGGAGGAGCCGGGTCCACTGCCGGGTGGAGGGGCCAGGCGAGTGTCCTTATCCTAGCGTTTGGGGCTCGGGCCTGTAAGCCCGTTGGAGTCGCGGCGGCGAGAACGACTGGGCCGAGCGGAGGAAGACATGTTGCTCTTCGTGGAGGTGAGTGGACTTGGTAATGTCGTCCTGCTGTGAGGAGAGCAGGAGTGCGGAGGCACCGGCCGGTTCCACCGCCATGTGACTTTCCAGGCCGTACACGCCGCGGAACCGGCAGATAGGCTGACACAGCACCTGGGCCGTGCAGGCCTGCGGCTCCACTCTGCGCTCTCGCAACACTTTAGGAAGCTCTGGGTAGTGAGGGCCGTAGTGGGGGAGAATTGAAGGTGGAGAATCCAGGCTTGTCTGGTATGAGGTGAGAATCAGAGGAAGGGGAAAGTGTCCCATATGGACCTCCTAGAGGAGGCAAACAGGCCGGGGTGTGGGGGAGGGCAGCAGGACGGGGGCGGAGTCTACGGAGAAAAGGGTAATCAGGTGGGCGCGTTGGCGGGGGTGGGGGGTGGTGGAGAAGTGAGGTCTCGCGCGGCCCTCTGGGAGGGAAGCAAGCAACATGTGGGGCCGCGGAGGGAGGAAGGTGAAATTGGGTATAAGTATGTTGAAGAGAAAGTTGAAAGCTGCTTTTTAGCAGCCCCCACCAAATTTTGTTTGATCCCCGTCCGTAAGTCTCTGGAACGTTCTGTGGGTGGAAAGCGAATTACTGTGAACGGAGGAGACGCCAGTAGGCTTTGGAAGCCTTGAAAGGCACCGCTTTGACCTTTTGTAAAAGTTACTCTGGCAGTGGCTCCGCGATGAGGGTTTGGCTTTATGGACGCATAAAAGCCCTTATAGGAGGAAAATTCCAAGAATGAGAGAAACCTAGTCCGAGGAAAGCCGGCTTTTTTTTTTTTAATGTTATTTAACAATAGAAATACTTTTATTTTAACTGGGACGCCCGCTGCTGGCCTATTTCAGTTTTAAAGGTAGTGGATACCTGATTTAGAGAAATACGAGGTTTAATTTCTCTTATTTCTCTTGTGTGCAGTGAGCATCAGCTGACTGCCTGGCTAATGCTTTGAGTAGATTCCAGATCATATTGTTCTTGCATTGTGAAAACGTCAAACCAGCAAAGCTGCAACTTCGCAACTTGGCACTTGTTAACTATGCCCATAAAAAGAATCTTTTCAATGAGGGAAGGAATTTACAGGTTGTATAATGGATCGAGAAGCCAGGGCCAGTCTATGGCTGTTTTTTCACTCTCTCGGAGGGGGTGATGGATTTTACTCCGTAATATTCCGACATAAAGTAAATTCATGCTTTTAATTTTTTTTTTAATCTAACCGACTGTGTAGCTGATAAATTTGAGATCTTTAAATTGGGTTTTAAAGAGACGCAGCTACCTTAGAGTATGTCCGGCATTGGTAATAAACATTCACTTGGAACACTCCCAAGTAAATCATGAAGAGATTTGAGATTACTGAGCCCATTCTGTTTACCATTTTTTATCTTCATTGTAGGTTTTTTTCGGCAGGATAAGAAATCAGATACGATTTTAAACAGTGCCAGTTTGTATTAGGAACGTTATGCCATGCAAATGCTTCAGGTTTTAAGTGTGTATGTGTTTTGCTGGGCAAGAGAATGTGAAATTTTATTTATATTAACATGAATTCCAAAATAAACTTTTGAGTTCCCAGTTGATTTCCTTTGGCTTTGTTAAAATGTGAACTTTAATAATCGCTCCATTTATTGAGTGTTTAAGCTAGATCCTCTCTGGTTTGTGAAACAACATTGCAATGTTTTACAGATGAGAAAACTGAGCGGAAGAGGTTAAGGAACTTAGAAGTAAAGTAGTGGAATTGTTAACATTTTCTTTTTTTTTTAATATTTTATTTATTTATCTGACAGAGATCACAAGTAGGCAGAGAGGCAGGCAGAGAGAGAGGAGGAAGCAGGCTCCCTGCTGAGCAGATAGATACTGAGCAGAAAGGCACTAGATATAGGTTATTCTAGTGCCAAATCATGGCTCTTATTAAACTGTTAATATTTCCACTAATCATTTTCTTTGTGAATCAGTATATTTTAACTTTTCTCCTATAATGAGTTACTGAAAATTAACAATCTGACTACGTGTTTGGAGCCAAATATATGGTATTAAAAGCAGTTAAAAAAAAAAAAAAACAACCACACACTGGTCATGTGGCATTTTGTTAACTAATATTTGATCCTTAAAACTATAGGAATAACCTGTAGGATTTAGAAATTACTCTAAATGAGTGAACCACAGCTCAGTTTGATGCCTGAGGTCACTCAGGTGCAAATAATGTGGTGGCTAAAGTCTGAAGTCTTGCGTCTACAACACAGGTCTCTGGCTCCAGAACTTATTTTGTACTTTCCCCTAAGCCAAGGATTCTTAATCTGGGTTTCTGGTTAGAATTGAGGAAGTCTGTGAACTTCATTGAGGGAAAAAAATTTCCCTGTTTATTTTGACTAGCTTCTAATTAAAATCTAGAATTGAAGAGAACTGAAAATTCTTGAAATTGCAATGGATTCAACAAGAGAAATATTTTCACATATTACAGGCTTTTAATAAAAATCTATTTATTTATTTGCTAGAGAGTGCAAATGAGAGCAGAAGCAGAAGGAGCATCAGAGGGAGAGGGAGAAGCAGGCTCTCTGTTGAGCAGGGAGGCCTATCTGGGGCTCAGTCCCAGGACTCTGGGATCTTGACCTGAGCTGAAGGCAGTTGCTTAACCGGCTGAGCCACCTAGACGCCCCCTGTGCATTTTAAAAACATTCTGAGAAGAGATCTGTAGATTACTTGTACTGCTAAAGAAGTCCATGGCACAAGGTTAAGAACCACTTTTCTATAAACCAAGTTGCTTGCGGATCATCTTTGGTTGGGCTTCTCTAATCTGGAATCTGAGCCCTTTGTAGTTGTATTCAAAATCTTTTACTTGTGTGTGTTTTTCTGGTAAGACCCTAGCTTTTCGTTTATAACTGGAATGAATGGGACAGATAATAGTAACGGTAATGGTGCTATAATAATAGTGGTATACCTGTATATTGTACTTACTGTGTGTGAAGCATTTTTGTATAGTAAGTACAAAACACACAGAGTTTTTTCATGTGTTCATATATATACATCTACTCAATCCTATCTGTGAGATAGGTAGAATTATTATCTCCATTTTAGAGATAAACTACAGCATAGAATTTAAGAAACTTCCCCACAGCTAGTGAATATTAAAGTTGGAATTAGAACTCTGCTACCTAGCTATACTGCAATAGGAAGCTACAGGCAGACAGGGAATCCTATTTTAAGTAATAGTGAGATGTAACTTTTTTAACTTAGTCTTGCAGACAAAGGGCTCTATTGATTTAAGTAGTTTATTGGGTTTTTTTTCTCACTGTTTTGAAGGGGACATATACAATATCTGGCTCTCTGTGAAGAGGGAAAAATGTTTGGATAATTCACAAAGTTGTCAGACATGTACCAACATAAATTCCCTTAAAACACATTCTGTAAGTTCAAAACAGCATTGTGCTTTCTACTAACAAATTACTTAAATAACAGCTTACACTTTTTTTTTTAATGATTTTTTGTGATTACTAGCATTTTTGTTTGTTTTTTCAGATCATTTCCCCCCTTTAATATTTTTAGTAGTTATGTCTGCTTTAGTTGTTTGGCCATGTTTTAATTGGGTTTCTGTCTCTAGAGTTTTTCCCTGAAAATGAATAGCTGTAACTACTTATTTAGGTAAAAATGACTTTTATGCACTCTATAATAACTCTTAGATGACTTTTAAACCTTTAATTATTTAAAATACAGATAACATAAAATTTAATGATCTTAACCAATTTTAAGTGTATAGTTCAGGGTTATTAAGTACTTTTACATTGTTTTGCAGTGTCACCACTATTCACATCCAGAACTCTTCATCTTGCAAAACTGAAACTGTATGATATGCATTAAACAGTAACTGCCCATTCCCTTGTTTCCCCAGCTCTTACATAATTTTTGAAGTAATTTATCTGACTTCTAAAGTGTTCTGCTTTTTTAGGTAATAACATTTTAAATTTTAGATGAAGCTTAGAATCTGAAATCATTTATTTTATATTGTAGTAATCATAACATCGTGCCTTTAACTCCAAATACAGTACTGGTTTTTCCCATTAATTTAAATAATTTATTTATAAAAAGTTATTAGATGCCACTGACTATGATTTTTTTTTTAAATGACTTAGAAGAAGAAAGTGCCTAAACAAATTGTGAAATGATTGCCAAGAGAAATTATAAATAAGTGAATAGTGGTTTCTGAGCAATTTGATTTTGGAATATTTATTGGAGGTAGATGCAGAACTTAAAAATGAATAAAAATATTTTCAAGTAGAAATACTTTCAGATACAATGGACTGAGAATGAAGTAGGAATTATCTTTTAAATGTGAAAAGAAGAATAAAATGCTTAGAAATGAACGTAAAGATGTAAAAGTACCTTTTGGTGCTTCAAATTACAGTGAACTGGTTTACAGTTTTCTGAAAAACCAGAAGCTAGGAATATTGATATTCAGTTATTTTGTATCAGTTTGGGTTTGTTGTCAGCCAGCTCCGTATTACTTCCATATTACTTCCCAGCTAATGGAAATGATCCTTGACAGTAGTCATGAACACTTCAAATCTGTAATTTTGGTTTCCTACCTGGAAGCTTAAGAAGAGATTTTTGACCCTGTAGTTGAATTGGGGTCTGAGTCTATATTGCAGAGGAGTGGAAAGTAGAGGAAGTTGAGAAACTATAATCCTGTGAAGTCATTAAAAAATTTTAAACCTCTCTGAAGTCCTTAAGTGAAAATGGAAAATGACTCTTCAGCTCTGATGGTGTTCATAGCATTTTACTTTATTGTTCCTATATTCTATATTTTGCTTAAATTTTGTTTTCTTTAATGTTTAGTTCTTGAGGAAGGTTTCCAGTCTTGATAACATAATAAACTTTTGCATTATGCACTGTAATTTTCTGCAAGGATTTTGGAATCCTGGGTTCAAATGTTAGTTGTATGACTTTAGACAATTGACAGCTTTTTGGAACGTCAAGTTCCTATCTGTAATTTGGCAATAATAATTTCTTTTGACAAAGTTTGTGTTCATGATGTTAATGCTGTTTATGATGTTTATGTATTGAGCATTTTAACATAGTCTAGCGAAGAGCTTAGCTGACAACTATCATTTGATCATCATAGCAACTCTTTTGTGTTGTAAATTCTCCAGTATATAAATAGTAACTTTCCAAAATTATTACTTTATGCCTTATGATTTGTTGAACATTTTTGGAAAAATTATTAAAACTACATCATAATGGCACTGGTAATTGCAAAAACTGCTGTG